AGGGCTTAGGGTTTAGGGTCCCTGACATGCGCCGTGAATGAAGATGTTCCAGGAGGTCCAGGAATCTACGTGACTTACATGAGACTTACTTTGGGCTGAACTTGGTCCCGTATAGATATTTGGGGGCCTATAAGTAAAGGTGTATACCTGAACAAAAAAAAGAGGTAAAATATGATCCCAAAACCTATAAAGAGGCTATTATTCTAAATTCCTTGGCCGCTCCAGCTATGTGCTATTCGGGTATCTGGACCCTTCGAGAGTGTCTTTGTTCAAGCAGATAGCGCGTGGATGCCTAAGCTAATCCCTACATAGTCCGAAATAACAAGAGTCCCTCTAACTCATTCCTTCATTCCCAACGGACCGGCTGCGGACTGCAAATGCTTTTGCAATTCTGACNNAGTTGCATCATCTCCAGTTCAGTTGCCCAAGCCTCGTCTATACAAATTCGCTGGTTTCTCAAAGATATGGGTTTCTGCTATACGATCATACTATAGGCGGTCATACTATAGAGACCAGTTTTTTGGCTGGTATGAGAGGAAAACCCGACCTTGAAAAACGAGCTTTACAAATCTAGTGGCGTGGCCACAGCTCTGGTGGCAGCGTCACAGGGCTGACGAGGGACGGCTGGCAGCAGCCAAAGCAGCACAGATCCGCTTACACTATATCTCACTAGTGGTTAACAGGGGGCCCGAGGAATATAATCCCTAAATACTAATCCCTATACTATGTCATATAGTCCCTTCGTCCCTATACTAGCCATCGGTAAAATATGTTACCGTCTGGGCCTGGGGTGGTCGAGGATTTAGGGTCTAAGGTCGAGAGCTCACGGGCAATGCTGAGGCTGGCTTGCCAGGGTCGTGGTGCACAAAGGAAGCCCATCAGTCATCGGGATTGGCATTGAGTTGCTCACGGGCGCCCGGAATTCTAAAGCACAGGATGCAGAGTCTAGTTCTCACTTCTAAAGCATGAATATGGATAGACAGAATGGGTGAAGAAAGCACTGGCAGCCCGGGTAGGCACTCTGCTGGAGGCCTTGTGATCTGGTTTCACCAAAACTGCCACTTCCTTCAAAACTGAGCAACACAACCAGTTATGCTGAGGGTGGCAGCCATCAAGGTGTTGTTGCTGAAAACTTAACACGGTTCTGAGTCTCGTTGCCACCATAGATCCTTCAGAATTCAGGACTTGGATGCCGTGCACAGAGGAAAAACCGTCAGTCGCGCTTGCAAAATCAAGCCATGCATGCGACTCTCGTTCTCCGGTGCTTTCTGACATGGAAACCCATGATATGTAGCGCGGACCTATCCGGGCCCCAAGCGTGTTAATTACACACATATCGCTGTGCAATCATTCCAAGTTGCACGGAGGTGATGTTGAAATCATTCTACATGATCTACTTTCAGGCTTCCATGTCAGTTGGGGGAGGATTAGCATACTGAAGGTCATGGAGCAGCTACAACGCACAGGTAGCGGTCGTTGGCGCTAAACCACAGCATGCCTGAATTGAACTCTGGCAGCCGCTGATCCAGTTCCATGCTTGAGAAAAATCGAGGATTTCCAAGAGCAGAGGTACACCACAAATATCCCGAACTGCCATGATCAAAAAAGGCCTCTTCTAAAACGACTGACCAAAAGGCACCCCTGCTTCTTGGATACCCGAAATTGCACCGGGAGAGCTCCGCTACATTCCCAGTGGAGAACCACAACGCAAAGGATGGTGACGCTGGAGTTCTACGCGGCGCATGAATATTGCAGGGGAAATCGCTGCTCCATCTACTGTACCCATTTACAAGGACCTCAACTACTGAGCAACAACTTTTTCAGGCATCACCTTCTCACTGGCAAATCGCTGCTGTGACAGCCGCCAAGGTACCAACAGCTGGCATGGCACCTGGAAGCCCGGCACTCGCATCCGACGCGCCTGTGGTCGAAGTCGTAGTTGCCTTGAGGGTAGCACTCTGCTGTCGTTGTGATATGCGGTACTGCGAAGTACTTGGGGGCTACTGTGAACGTGTAGGTAATAAGGATGATTGGTGTACTCAAGCTTTAGATGCCCCTGTTTTGATTGTAGAGCGCCTTGCACATGTCCACATAAGCGTCAGAGCCTGAGAGGAGGGTGGCAGAATTGCCTGTGTCGTCACAAACAGAGTCCAAGCAGCCTCCAGCTGTAGCATCCTTCCACTTGCCCACCATGGCACAAGTGATGCCAAGTTGCGGATACAGAGACTCCACTAAGGTTTTCACCTTACATGCTGCGTCTGATGGGATAGAAGTTTGGTTCAAATCGAAGATTGCATCCACCATCTCAACAGTGGTCGTGTTGAAGGTGGACATGTAGCCGGATGCGGAACGCCAGTAGGCCCAACCCTCAGCAAGGTACTTTGGTTCCATGGTGCCGCCATTGTAGGCTTTGTCAGCATACTTGATGGCGCTGCGGATTGCGGGCAATAGAGAAGATCTTGTACATGCCCAACTCGGCTGCTTTCACATTGTCCCCGTTGTAAGCAGCGCCGCGGAGGTTGATCAGGCCGTAGTTCAAGATCTTCACAGCTTCTGCGTGTGTGTTGGTGCCATCAGGGTAGTCGAAATCGCGCTTCCAGTTGAACTCATATGGGGAGTAGAGATTTCCTGGAGCACCGCCTGTGATTCCGTCACCTACAACTGGCGCGATGTTCCCGATGTAGAACGCAGCGCCCTCGTCCCAGGCATATGCTGCCTGACCATCCGCAGTCTCACCGTTTGCACCCTTCCACACCGCTGCACCAAACTCGTACGTAGCATAGGCGGTCACAACACCAATAAGGGCTTTGTTGATCACATACTGCCTGAAGGAGTCACTCTTGTCCTTGCACATGCCGGTGTTGTCAAGGCAGGCAATGATGTAATCATGCCAAATGGCGGAAATCGAGCCGTAGAGGCTCAGCGCACCCGAGTAGAACACGTTGGTGTACTTCCCGCTTACCGTCATGTCCTTCAAGGCCAAATCTTGAAGGGTTCGCATGTTACCCGCGCCCTTTGAAGAGAAGTTGCCCATGGTGTAGACCTCCTTTGCCATGGCGTAGTTCATAGGATCCTCGGCCAAGTAGCCTGACTCATGGCTTGTTTGTAGGGCGGGATTAGAGGAAAGAAAATGGCATGGAAGCTTTACACTCTACACTAGTGGGAGGCTACAGAAGGACTACTACGGGGAGCCATACCAGCAAGTGGCTCTTGATCAACGCGACATCGCGATTGATGTCTGCGTGCTCCGTGACATCGTTGACTGGGCAGTAGAGACCGTCTGATAGCTGTGGGCAGGAATCCACCTGGGGTCAAAACACGGCAGCCGCGGGATATACGTACATGCATACATGCATGCATGCATGAGTACATACACACATGCATACAAGCATACAGTTGTATGGAAAATGCTTATAGCTACAACATTTGCACAATAAACCTGGTCTCGGTGAATCGAGAGGGGGTCGGTTAGCATACATCCGTTTATGTTTATGTCTACCATGTCCACATACGGGGAGTATGCAGGGGTCATGGCAATCCCCCCCCCCCCGTTTTGAGAACAATCCACCGGGTTGCAGGCCGCCCCTTCAGCACCGGTAGCCGCAAAGCCCAAGAGCACGAGGCGCAGGAGTCCCATCTTTCGAGCAGGTTTACGGTTTAGGGCTTATACTGGAGTAGGCTGCTGCAAAAGCCAAGAAAAGGCTGCGAAATGGAGATCATGTGTCTTTTAGAGCTATGCTGGACCTTAGAGCAGAACCGTGTGCTCAGTGTTTGGCCGGTACACAACGCTCTACAGTCGTCCAAGCAAAGATGGAATCCGGTCTTTTCTTGACTACTGCTGCCCGTTCATACATTAACAGCTCGTGCAGTTCCAAGATAGTCCCAGGTTTCAACGGTCTGCTCACGGAATCTTTGGTTTTGCAGGCGACCACAGCCCCAAAGGACTAAAATGAGAAGGCTTCTGTCCCAAGCACATACCATATACGTACTTGGACCCCTTAGGTCTGGGATCACGGCATTCACCTGCTCTGAGCGTAGCATTGTGTCTGCCATGCGCTCAGCATCGCCTTCCTGGCGTGTTGGTGATGTGGAGGGTCGGGAGCTGCATCCCAGCAGAAGGGATCGGATCAGGTATGGAGGTTATGCAAGTCGCGTTATGGATGTCCCAGTGCACGTCAAAACGAACGGTCCAGCTGTGTGGAAGGTCCTTTATGAAGGATGCTGCTAAGAACCCAAAACGTGTAGAATAATGGCCTGTTTGGGTTCTCAAGACTTTCTGCCGACACAGGGCCTGCAACTCCCAACCCAAAGCGCTAAGAAACTAAGCGCCAACACACGTGAAACGCAACACAGCATTGCAAGCAGTTAGATATGCTGCTGGAGCCTTCTTCGAGCTCTGCATTGCATTTTAGATCTTCAGCCAATTTATTCACTCATGAAAAACGTGAGTAATATCATTCTTATTGAGCCCCTGCGGAGCGACTAGCATGTAAATGATTCCCAACAAACTAGCAAGGTCTTCACAAAAAGCACGTCTAAGAAGAACTGCAACTTGGCATATCCCCTGAAATCCCCATGTACTCCTACAAACAAACATATCGGATGAGTCTATGTTGGGGGCTGTGAGAGGGACTGATGGACTTATGAAATCTGATTCACATGAGCCCTGGTGGCTGTGAACGAAACCCTGATGGATGTTTGATACACACCACGCTCCTTCTTCCCTCGTACTTGAGGAGCAACACAGATGCTTGCTGGGTACTTTGCTGCATGCTGCATTTACATCAGAAAGCCCAATGTCTACTTGTCACTATACAGGATCCATGAACATCAATGAACAAAATCATGCCGTCAGTAGTGCTGGATTCCCTGACCATCTCCAGCTAGACTTCCCCCACTGGGGTNNGTGGGCGGTGTAGTTCTTAGGCCCTGGAGTGCCAAATCCTGAGAGGCAAAACCAAACCCGAAGAACACATTTTGGCCCATTCTCCTAGCCAAAAACATGGAAGCCCCTATAACAAGCTTGTGAAAAGACAGGCTAGTCTCGCGGAGTGTAAACTTCAAAGCAATGTAAGTCCACACCTGGGTAGTTCCCAAAATTAGGGTCCCTTTTTGGTACCCTGAAATATTAGGTGTCGTAATATCATCTGTAGCCACAAGGGGCCCATAATTGTGAGAACACCCCAGCTAGTTTTCAAGGCTACTTCACGTTCCGCAGCCAGGATTGGAACACAAGCAAGAAGCAAAGCTAGATAGATCTGAGCTCCAGCTCATGATTTGGTTGCTGTTAAGTAACTTGAATTTAGCTACCATCATAAGGAAACCACATAAACACATACTTCACTACACATCTAGATTCTCGCAACGCGAACCAAGTTCGTTGGCAGCAACCCCACAACTCCGACTCTGATAAACTTGCTGGTGCCTTAAAATTGCCTGGGGGGGGCGACCACCTATGGTAGTTTCCCAAAAAAGGGGACCTAAATTTAGACGCCGATAAAGTATAGCCCTTATAATTCGAACACCCATAAAAGGTATCCCTAATTTGGGGAAGCTCCCATATGCATTATGACAGGGGCATATATACACATGGGGATTCCAAAGGGATACGTCTTTTAGGCACCCGCCCTTAAGCACCAGTAGGAAAAGCCAAATTCGATGTTTAGTAGGAAAAACCAAAATCGATTTTTTTCGGAATATTCAATGCAACCTCTACGAATCTCCACCAGGGGGTCCACGATGTACCTAAACCCTAAACCCTAAACTCTAAACCCTGAACCCTAAATTCGAAACCGTAAACCCTAATACTCTATATCCAAAGCTTGGTGCCTCTGCTTCGCCAGCCATGGTCCGGAGGATGCTACGTGCTTCCGCACGAAGCTCGTCCTCAAAGACCAGTTCAGATTAGGCTGTTGGATTACCGCCTTGAAGCCATTCTTCGTATTCGTACTATAGGTGTACTTGGGAGGTCTAGGGTTGGGCTTAGCCCAATGAGGTGCTACTTGGCAGGCCCAAGCCTTTTGGAAATGTGTGATGACTGCTACTTGGACGCCTACAAGGGTTGAGTTGATGGGGGTTCAAAAATGTTGGACCTGCGTTACAGCACCGTAGGCTTAACCGTAGGTTCTAGGGCATGTGCGATAAAGAAATGGAACATGGGACGCATCAAATGGACGGACAGTCGCGCACGTGATCGCAACCTGCCTTCGGATATCTGGGAGTGGTGGCGGCATGAAAGAACACAAGATGGGTTTCCCTATGAAACCTTACAAAGATCCCAAGGTGCTCCTCGACACATAGAAAGTCGAAGAGCATTTACATGGCTCGGAATTCACCTTCATTTTCCTGATTGTACTACACAAGTCGCATGCTCCAGAAGAAATATGCCTTCGGCACGGATATCACCTACACCATATTCTGAAGAAAATCCTGAACATGACTGGGGGCAATGAAGTCTAAATCCTTAACCCTTGCTCCTGGGAAGCTCCAGGTGTCTCAGGTGTTCCAGCACATGCACTTCAGCAAGTAGAGCTGGCTTAAGAAAATCAAATGAGCAAAATTATGAAAGATGCTCAATGGCTACAACCTCTTCCATCCGCTTGACAATGAGAATATGTGCAATCAACTGGGTTGTTGTTAAGGAACGTACCATAATGGGTATACATAGTGATTAATGCGGTTTCCCTGATAGTGTCCTAAATTAAGTTCGCTAACAGCAACCCAGTAGAGCGAGGCACTGTGCAGGCCAGAAACCAGTCCGACCAGCGATTAGTACCCCTCGAGACTGTTGAAACCTTTCCTTACTAGTGCTTAGTAGGGAAGAAGGGAATATGATCCCTATGCAGTCCCTACATAACATAATCTCATATTTCCTACTAAGCCGCAGAAAGCCATTCAACTCTCTCAAGCTTGCATGTGCCTCATGACTTCCCCTGCACTTCGTGAGTTCAAGAAATCTGAAACCTACCTGATGAGGCCTTAGATGATGCAACTGTGGTCCAGCAGTAACCAACAAAAATGGCCACAGCGGAGCCCCAACAAAATCCAAAAGAACAAATGCGTGGTTTCTCAAAATCAGGTACCTCGAAGCAGCCTAGGCATATGTTATGGACATCAGAAGATGATGAAGTTGCACTTCAGAGAAAGTCCCGCAAAAGCCTGCAGTCCGCCACCAATTCTGAATCTCTGCTTGGATATATTCGCTGTTTTGCTCGCGAAGGAACGTAGCCCTCTAACAGGCGCTAGGAAACCATGATCTTCAGGAAAGCCGTCCGTCTGGACGACTCGACCATCTGAACTCTAGTTACTCATATGGAACTGCTTGACCGTCCTCTCCAACGGATGCTCCACATACACACTCACCAAAGTTACCAAAGTTTCTGTGGAGCTCTGAACCCTGGGCCCCATATCTATAAATAATCCGTACATAGAGCCCCAATGTCTATAAATGGTAGCTGCATTGGGCTATTTGCAGCCCTAGGGTATTATCTAGCCGTCTAGCCATTAAAGGGCGCACCTAAACCCTGGGCATCTTCAACAGTAGGATGCCGCGAGTCTCAGTTTCGGACAGGAACCGTCCAGGCTCTGCTCAAGCAAAGGCCCATGCCGCCTGCTGTCCGAAGATCCATCAAGCTACTCGGGAGTTTCTCAGAATTCGAATGTGAGGCCCAGAGGTTAGACATGGATTTGCAAAGGGTTAGTCTTATGATGGAGTTGAGGACTACTCTCATAGAGGGAGCGCCTTCGCAAACTTGTGGGTAAAGTTGTGGCTATAGGGTTTTAAGGCTTTAGAGCGTATGACTTCTTCACAAGAACCTACCGCATCAGAGGTCCCCGTGTATACAGACGGATTAGAAGGGAATTATTGGGCCTCCTCAAGGAGTTCTTGACATCTGGCTTTGAGTTCCTTGATAAGCCGACCTAGCCCATGTTGCCAAGCAAACAAAATCAACAACACCTCTTGAAGCCCACATGTGCAATGTGTACTTCAGTTGGAGGCTGTAATGGGGAGCTCGGACTGTGACCATTGGGTTTTCCTGACGAATCACTGCGCTGGTAAGAACACACAGTTTGCTTGGTCTCCTGAAAGAGACTCATCTCATAGAGGCTCATGGTTTCTGAGTGCTTCTCGTTACAGCGAAAAAATCTTGTCTTTCTAGGCCGAGGTGGTACTGTATTCATGCTTGGGGCAGGAGGCGGCGACACCGACTACCTGCCCTGATCTTGTGGAGGTGTGGAAGGGTGTCATGCGAAACTGAGGCTGGTCTTGACTGCTTTTACCCAGACTGTAAACCCAAGATATACCCTAGTGTAATATAGCCCCATATGACCATTATCCATGTATATCCCAATATATGCCCTATTGTAATATAGCCCAATATTACCATGATCCATGTATATCCCAATATTATGCCGAGTCTACAAGGTAGTTTTCTGCAGGCCGCTGTCCCAAACATATCTAACAGTGTTAGCTCTGACTACACGCACACACAGAGAGTGGGTTACATAGGGATAATGGAAAAGAACATGGAAGCTACTATATAATAGGGTATATCTTGGAGTGGAGACTGAGCACCTGCGTGATTACAGGCGAGAAGTCATCTGAGGGAAGTAGATTCATGGAAACTACTATAGCAT